ATGAGGGGATGGGCAGAGGAAGGAGGGATGAGGAGGACGGGGGGGGAAGGAGGGATGAGGGGACGGGCAGAGGATGGAGGGATGAGAAGGAGGGATGAGGAGGAGGACGGGAAGGAGGGATGAGGGGATGGGCAGAGGAAGGAGGGATGAGGAGGAGGAGGGGGGGAAGGAGGGATGAGGGAACAGGCAGAGGGAGGAGGGAGGAGGAGGAGGGGACGGGCAGAGGAAGGAGGGAAGGAGGGATGAGGGGACGGGCAGGGGATGGAGGGATGAGAAGGAGGAGGAGGGATGAGGAGGCTGAGGGGATGGGCAGAGGAAGGAGGGATTAGGAGGAGGACGGGCAGGAGGGATGAGGGGACGGGCAGAGGAAGGAGGGATGAGGAGCAGGCGGCGGCGGCTGAGGGGATGAGGCGGCTCTGGGCCGGGCAGGCATGAGCCGACTGACTGACTCCCAGGCCCCAGCCTGCCCTGCCCTTTCCCTGACCCTGTCCTGGCCCGTCCCCGTTCCCACCCGCCCCGTGGCCGGAGGTGGGGCTGGGCACGGCCGGTGCGAGGCTGGCGCAGGTGGCCCCGGGGGCTGGTTGGGTGCCCGGGGGCGGGGCGGGAAGCGGCCGAGCCGGCAGTGGGGCCGGGCCAGCTCCTTTGCTAATCGCAGCTGGCACCGGCCCCCGCTTCCCTCAGCCATTTTAGCTGCCAGCTGGGAATCCCTGTGCAAAATGGCTCCCGCCTGGAGGGAGGAGTGGCCCCGAGCCAACGGGCACGGCCACGGGCCCCCCCCCCCCCCCCCGGCCTGGCCCGGCCCCGCCGACGGGCACCTGCACCCCTGGCCCGGCCCCACAGATGCCAACCCCAGCATCTGGCCTGGCCCCACAGACTCCAGACCGCACCCCCAGCTCGGCCCGACTGATGCCAACCGCGGCCTGCGGCCTGGCCCGACTGACGCCCACCGCGGCCTGGTCCGACCGGCACCGCCCCGCACCCCCAGCCCGGCCTGACCCACGCTGACCCACGCCCCCAGCTCGGCCCGACCAACACCAGCCACGGCCTGCGGCCTGGCCCAGCTGACGCCCACTGCGGCCTGAGCCGACCGGCACTGCCCCGCGGCCCCAGCCCGGCCTGACCCCCCGGCTCCATCCACACGGGCCTGTTATCCAGCCTGACCCACACCGACCTCTGGCCCACGCCCCAGCCTCACCGACGTCAAATCTAGCTCCACTGACGCGCACCCGGCCTCCCCGACGCCGACCCACGGCACCCCGCCTCCCCAACGCCGAGCCCCGCCGCTCTAACCCACCAGCCCCCACCCTCCTCCCAGAGCCGGGGAGAGAACCCAGGAGTCCTGGCTCCCAGCTCCCCCTGCTCTAACCACTAGCCCCCGCTCTCCTCACGCCTGTCTCTCCCTCCCCAGCTCTGTGGCCGCACCATGGCTCCGGTGCTGGAGCTCTCGGACGCCGCTCACTCCTGCTGCCTGCTGGTGGAGCTGAATGAGCAGCGGCTGCGGGGCCAGTTCTGCGACGTCACCATCATCGCCGAAGACACCAAGTTCCCAGCCCACAGGAACGTGCTGGCAGCCTGCAGCCCGTACTTCAAGGCGGTGCTGTCGGAGGAGCCGGCCGGCCGCCAGCCGGCCCAGGTGCTGGAGCTGCCCGACATCCAAGCCGGGGTCTTCTCTGATATCCTCAACTTCATCTACCGGTCTCGCCTCTCGGTGCCCAGCCCGGCCGCCGCCCGGCAGATCGGAGCCGCCGGCCGCCGCCTGGGCATCTCGTGGCTGGAGAACCTGGACCCCGCCGCTCAAGCCAAGGAGATGAGCGAGCCCTGGAGCCCCGAGGCCGCCGGAGACACCTCGGCCTCCTCCCCGAGATCCTGCGCCTCCCCCGTGGACCTGACTTGCCCGTCGCGGTCGGCCGCCAGCCCCATCTGCCTCCAGGAGCCGGCCCAGCCGCCCAGCCCGCAGCGGGAGGCGGATAACGAAACCGAGACGGCGAAGATCCTCTACGCCCTGAGCACAGCGCCTGCCGAGCCGGGTGCCCCGGACTGGGAGCGGGAGCGTGGCGCCGCAGAACCGCCCGACGCCGGGGGCGAGCCGGCGCCGTCTTCTTCCTCGCCGGCGGGCAGCGCCTTCCGCTGCGGGCTCTGCAGCCGCTCCTTCGCCACACCAGCCGCCCTGAGCCTCCACCTGAAACTGCATCGGAGCCGGCGCTCCCTCTCCTGCCGCCACTGCGGCAAGAGCTTCATCCACGTCAAGCGGCTGCAGACGCACGAGGTGCTCTGCAAGGAGGCCGGTGAGGAAGAGGAGGCAGCGGCGGCGGGCAGCTCGGCGGTGGCGGGCGGCTCGGAGGCGGCAGCCCCTGCGGCGCCCCTTCCTCCCACCGCACCGGCGCTGCCCAAACCGGCATCTTCCAAGAAAGGCCTGCTCTTCCGCCACCGGGCCCTGCAGCGGCTGGAGTACATCCCGGAGCAGGACCACTTCGTCAAGGTGGTGGACGGGCACGTCATCTACTTCTGCACCGTCTGCGAGCGCTCCTACATGACCCTCTCCAGCCTCAAGCGCCACTCCAACGTTCACTCCTGGCGACGCAAGTACCCCTGCCGCTACTGCGACAAAGTCTTCGCCCTGGCCGAGTACCGGACGAAGCACGAGGTATGGCACACCGGCGAGCGCCGCTACCAGTGCATCTTCTGCTGGGAGACATTCGTCACCTACTACAACCTGAAGACCCACCAGAAGGCCTTCCACGGCATCAACCCGGGACTCATCTCCTCCGAGAAGACGCCCAACGGGGGCTACAAGCCGCGGCTCAACGCCCTCAAGCTCTACCGCCTCTTGCCCATGCGCTCCCAGAAGCGACCCTACAAGACGTATAGCCCGGGGCTGCTGCCGGAGGGCCTGCTGTTGCCCCCGCAGCCCCTTCCCGTGGCGCTGGGCGAGGGGGACTCCACGGCCGGCCCTGGCGGGGAGGCGGGGCCCGGCTTCGCATCTGCCAACGCTTTGGAGGCGCCGGAGGCCGAGCGGTTCCTCCTGCCGGCGCCGGCCGAGCGGCACGAGACGGGGCCGCCCCCGTTCCTGGCAGAGGAGGCGCGGCGGGCGCCGGCGGACGGTGAGGCCCCGTCGGTCATCGCCTATGGCCACCCGGCCGCCTCGGTCATCGTGCACAGCACCTCGGTGGGAGGTGGGGGCGGCCAGGCATCCTCGGTCATCACCTACAACAGCACGCCAGCCGCCCCCCGCCCCGCCCCTGCTGAGCCCCTCAAAAAGCAAGTGCTGAAGGAGTACATCCAAGCCCAGAAGGCGGCCGAGCAGGCGGCGGAGGAGGCAGGCGGCGGGGAGCCGCCGAAACCCCGCAGCCTGCGGCCCGGCCGCACCATGACCTACATGGCCAAGCCGGCCTACGTGGGCGCCGCCTCAGAGAGCCGCAGCGCCCCGCTGTGCCAGATCACTGTGCGCATTGGCGAAGAGGCCATTGTCAAGCGGCGCATCTCCGAGACTGACCTGATGCTGGACAAGAGCCCAAGGGGCCCCAAGCGTTTCGATTTCGGGCCGGCCGAGAAAGCGGCTCCCGGCAAACGGGCCGGCAGCTCCTACGCCCACAACGAGAGTGGCGAGGAAGAGAGCGACCGGGACGCCGAAGACCAGCTCTGGCGTCCGTACTACACCTACAAGCCCAAGCGGAAGGCCTGTGGCTCCGGCGGGGCTGGCTCCGGCGTCCCCAAGGTGAAGCGGTCTTCCCGGTGGCGCCGCAAGCTGCGTTCCCTGCGCTGGATGAAGCGGGCGGAGGAGGAGGAGGAAAGGGAGGAGCCCAGCCCAGCGCCCGCCCACGCCTCGCCCAGTCCTGGCGGCTCTGACGCCCCGGCGCCCGAGCCGGCGCACAAGGCGGGGCGCGGCAGCGCCGATTGGAAACACGAGTGCAGTGCCTGCGGCAAGCTCTTCTCGGCGCTGAAGAAGCTGCGGAAACACGAGCGGGTGCACGGGCGGCCTGGCAAGGATGATCCTGCGCCGGCGCCGGCCCACCGGGTGGGCCGCAAGCCCTCGGTCAAATTCACCTGCGCCCACTGCGCCAAGGTCTGCAAGACCGCGGCGGCCCTGAGCCGGCACATGAAGCGGCACGAGGGGGAAAGCCGGGAGCCTGGCCCGGCTGCCCTGACCACCGTCATCGCCTATTCCAAAAAAACGGAGGAGCCGGAGCCGGCGCTGGCGGCCGTCAAGGAGGAAATCACGCAGGAGATGCAGGTCTCATCATCCAGCGGGGAGCCAGCGGCGGCAGAGGCCAGCCGGGCCTGCACTGCCGGCCAGCCGGCCACGCCGGAGAGTCAGGGGGCAGCGCCGCCCCGGGAGGAAGAGGTGATGCCGCCAGAGACGGGCGGGCCACAGGAGGCGGCTGCCCCGCTAGCCGAAGCCACCACCAGCTGTGTCGAGCTGGCCCCTGCGCCGCCCGCCCCCCAGGCCGCCCTCTCCTTGCAAGACCCTGTCATCTCGCACACCAGCCCGGCCCCGGCCCCGCCCGAGGAGGAGGCGGTGGGCGGCTACCCAGAGAGGTACCCGGTGCAGGAGTACCCCCTGCCCCTGCTGGCGCCCGGGGGCTGCCGGATCCGGAAGGAGGCAGAAGACAAGCCCGCCTTCCTGGCCTACCCCAGCCCCCTCCCTTTCAACGCTGTGGGCAAGGCCGGGGCCGGCGAAGGGGAGGGCAAGGTGAGCTTCTACCCCGACCCCTACCCGCTCGTGTACGGGCACCAGCTGCTGGCTGCGTACCCGTACAACTTCACCAACCTGGCCGCCCTGCCTGTGGCGCTGAACATGGTCCTGCCAGACGACAAGGGCCAGCCCCTCCCTTTCCTGCCCAGCGTCTTCGGCTACTCGGTCAACCCGTGCCGGAACGAGGCCCAGGACGGGGCTGGCGCCGGGGCCCACGGGGCCGGCAGCGGGGCGGGGGGTGGGGCGGCCCTGCCCCGGGGGGTGGTCCGGGGGGAGCCCCCGGCCCCCGAGCGCCTGAAGAAGGGAAATTTCCTGTGAGCGGCAAGCGGGCAGGTGCCCGAGCTGGGCTAGGCTCGGGGGGGGAGGGGGGTGATGCTGGAGGGGGTGCTGGTGCTGTGATGTGGGGGGAGGGCTCCGGGGCCACGATGCGGGACGGAGAGGCGTGGCCCAGCAGGGGAGGCACCTGGAGCCGAGGGGCGCTGGAGCCGTGTGACCCTCCCCCCAGAAGTGTGACATAAGGACCGGGGGGGGGATCCTGGAGCTAGGCTGTGAGCTGTCCCCCCAGATGGATCAGCCCCCCCTTCAGTGCCTCCTGGGGACCCCCCCACCCCCCCGGCCCCCGGGCCCCCTTTCCCCTTGCGGCCCCCCCCCCCCGACCCCCAGGCCTTGCAGCTGGCACATGTGGGGTGGAGGGGGGTTGTTACTCCAAAGGAGGGGCTATAGAGAGGGACCAATATGTGGGAGATGTGGGAGCCCAATATACCCCCCCAAAGAGTAAGGAGGTGGTTTAGGGGTGGGGGAGCCCAGCTGTGAGGGGGGGCACTACAGCGCCCCCCCCCCCGAATGCACTGCAAACCCCCCCCCCACCGGCTCCGGCAGTGTCCCAGCAGGGGGCGCTAATACTCCAGCAGGGACCTGCCCCGGGTTCCCCTCCCCACACTGCTGTCCTCAGCTTCCTGCCCCGGATACCCCCCAATCCCCAGTACCCCCACCCCCCCCCCCCCCCCCCCCCCCCACACCCCCCCCCCCCCCCCCCCGGTCCCGCGCTCCCAGCCCTGGCGGAGCGCCAGGCTCAGTGGGTGACGCTGCGTTTTGGAGCTGCGACCGGCTGACTCACTTTTTCCTTTCAGGGCCGGGAACCCAGCTCCGGCCCTTCCAGAAACTTCCCTGGTCCCCCCCCCCCCCCCCCCCCGCCCCCCCCCCCCCCGGGCGCCCCCCCCCCCCCCCCCCCCCCCCCATCCCCCCTGGGGGGAGATGGGGGGGGTTCCCATTTGCACTAGTCATTTTCTGTTTTGGGACACTGACCCCCCCCCACCCCCGACTGCACTAGCCCCTCCCGTGATCACAGCCTCCTCTTTCTCCATCACCCCCTTCCTTCACCTCTGGGACCCCCCCCTTTGTAGGAATTGGGACCCCGGAGCTGGCTCTGGGGTGCCAGTTCACCCCCCCCGATGGCAAGGTGTGGGGGGTGGTATAGGAAAAAGGGGGGTATCCCCCCAAAGAGAGACCCCTAATAAATGACTGTGGTTCAAAGGACTCCAAAAGTGGGGGGGCTCTGCGGTGAGCCCCCCAGTCCACCCAGCCCCCCACGATCCCTCCCCAAACCGGCCCCCCTAAAATCCACTCCTCTGCCCCCCCAAGCTGCTTCCCTGCCCGTGTCCCTAAAATCCCCCCATCCGCTTCCCCTGCCTGTGCACCCCAAATCCTGCCCCTCTACTATCCAGCTGCACTCTCACTCCAATCTATCTGGCCCCCCATGTACCCTCTCTGCCCCCCGAAACCAGCACATTTTAAACCATCCAATCTCTGGGTAGCAGGTTGCATTACAGATCTTTGGGGGGACCTGTCACCCCTTATTCTGCAGATCTTGCTCCTCCAATTGCCAGCTCCCCCTCCTCCCCTTTTTGGGGGACCCTATGCACCCCCCCATTCCCCTGTGCTGGTTTCCCCATGCACCCCCATGGGGGGGACATGGGGAGGGGGGTCTGCACCCCTTTGACCCTTGACATCTGGGTCATGAAGGACTTGTGTGGGCGAGGGGGGGGGTTGTGCCGCTCCCAGAATCCTTTGTTGCCCCAGGAGGAGAGCGGGTCAGATTTGGGGGAGCAAAGGGGGGTGTGGATTTCCCTGGGGGGTTGAGGGGGTGGGAAGCTGGGGTTCAGCCCATTTATACACCCCGGTAGCTGGGAGGAGGATGATCTCCCTGGCTCAACCTGTGGGGAGGGGCTAAGGAGGAAATGGGGACAGCCCCCCCCCAACTTTGCCCCCAAACCAACCCCTAAACTCCCTCACCCCCAAACTCGCCCATGACCCCTATGGGGCTGGGGAGGGGAGCAGAGAATCCCCCCCGCCCCAATTCCAGGGATGCGGGGGGGGGTCTCTATCACTTACCCCCCCGCCCTAGCTTTCCAGCCAGCACGGGGCACTGCTGGGTATGGAGCTTTGATCTCCCTGAGGGCCTTCCCAGGCCGGCTGATACCCCTCACAGTAGTGGGCGCGCTGCAGGGCATTGCACCCTGCTCTGCTGCGGCGATGCATTGCGACGGGCATTGCACCCTGCTCTGCTGCGGCGCGGCGATGCATTGCGACAGGCATTGCACCCTGCTCTGCTGCGGCGCGGCGATGCATTGCGACGGGAAATGCTCCCTGCTCTGCTGCAGCCCAGCCATGCAATTTCCAGCGCTCCCCGCTGCGGCGCAAGCCTTGCGTCACCCTGCAGCTCCCCGTCGCTCCCGGTTCCTGCAATAAAATGAGCATTTCCCCCCTCCCCTGCAATACTTCGGTGCAGCGTGGTGCACATTCCAGCCCCCCCCCCCGCTGCATTCCACCCTGCAACCCGCCACTGCAGGGTGAGGACCATTGCAACCCACCCGCCCCAGCCACCTCTTCTGGCTGGCAGGGAGAATCGCGTACACATGCGTCCGCTGCATCGCAATGACCTTCCCACCCCTCTGCTTGCTGGGCTGCGCTCGAGGAGGGTGCCGGTCAGGGGATTAGCAGAGCGCACCAAAGGCATTCTGGGCACCTGTCCCGCTCCCCCGCCCCCAAGCTGCAGTGGGGGGCCGGGGGGGGATTGCAGGGGATCGGGGGCAGGGGAGGGCAGTCACTGATTTGTACATAGCTGTCCGTCTCCGCGACCTCTTTTGCACTTTCGTCACTGAGTCCTCAGTGAGCGTCGAGCATCGCTACCGAATGTACCTTCGTCTTTCTGTTCTAGATTGCACCTCTCGTTAGTTTTACGGCACTTTAGAGCTCTAACGAAACGGTTTAAACCCCCCCCCCCACCACCAATCAAAGAAACAAACGAGCAAAAAAAACCAACAACAACAACCTGGTAAAATGTTTCCGAAAACCCACCTTCCAGCTGCTTCGATCCTGGTCTCTCTGTTCCAACCGTGACTGTGTGGACGACCCGTAGAGAACAAGCCAATATTTATCTTTCTGCATCTCTGTGTGTAACTATAATAACTTCTCCGAAATAAAAAGACGACTATATGCTCAACCCCAACTCTTGATCTGGCGCCGAGATGCAGCCACCTCTGGGGCGGGGCGGCTGGTTACCCAGAGACCCCTCGCCCGGTGCTGAGATGCGGCCACCTCTGGGGTGGGGCGGCTGGTTACCCAGAGACCCCTTGCCTGGCGCTGAGATGCGGCCACCTCTGGGGTGGGGCGGCCCGTTATCCAGGGACCCCTCGCCCAGCACTGAGATGCGGCCACCTCTGGAGCGGGATGGCTGGTTACACGGGGACCCCTCACCCGGTGCTGAGATACGTCAACCTCTGGGGCGGGGCGGTTGGTGACACGGGGACCCCTCGCCCGGCACTGAGATGTGGCCACCTCTGGGGCAGGGCGGCCGGTGACCCAGGGACCCCTCGCCTGGCGCTGAGATGCTGCCACCTCTGATGTGACTCCCAAGGGACGAGTGGGAGTCTGAACTGACAGCCAGGGGACTGGGGGCTACCCGGGGCTGGGCACGGCCAGCAGGGGGTGTTGCAGGGGGATATTCCCCCCCCCCCGCTGCCATCCTGTCTAGACAGACCCCTCCCTGTCTGGGATTGTGGCCAATGTAACGCCTAGCAAACAGCCACTGCCCATGGGGAGTCAGAGGGGGTTGCTGGGAGATGGGGGTTTACTGCAGGGCTGAGAAAGGGGTCCCTGGTCCATTGGGGGTGCCTGCGTTTATTGGGGTCCCTGTGCCCATGGGGGGGCTCCCCGCTGCTGGAGCTGTCCCCCCCGGGCATTAACCTCCTCCCCACTGCTTCCCCCATACCACAGCACCAGGTTCCACCCCTCGTGCCTCAGTTTCCCACCCCTCCTTGATCCAACCAACCAGGGCGTGAGCTGACGCCCGCCTCCGCACACCAGGGCGAACGCCCTGTCATCTTTTCCCCCTGGCTGGGCAGCCCTGACCCTTGAGCCGGCTGCGACGCCAACCCGCTGGCATCAGAGAGCGAGCCCCTGTTTACCCGCCCCGCAGATTGGCCGGCGGGGCAAAGGGGCTCGGAGCGGGTGGCCCTCGGCTCCGGTGCTGGATCCCTTCTCCGGGCACCATGGGCTTCCCAGCCAGGCTCCTGGTCCTGTTGTCCATAGGGGCCCTGCTGTACCAGCCGATAATCCACGGGGACTCAGCCAAGGTGAGGCTGGTGTGGGGGCGGGCGGGGAGGGAGGCCGAGCCGCTGGTGCCGGAGCTCATTGGCATGCTAGCAAAATGGTGTAACACCCCTCCCAGCTCTGCTCCCTCTGTTGCACCCTGCCTCAGTTTCCCTCCGGGGAAAGCAAGGGGATGATTCCAGGTGGTCTGGCTAGCCCTGAGCTGGGGGGCTTTCTGGTGCCCCCCGTGACGGGGCGGATACACCCATGGGGCAGGAAGGAGGATACACTGGGCCTTAAAAACCTCTAAGGGTGGAGCGATCCTCCGGGACCTCATCCCATGCTTTTCGCAACGTCCCTCTGGCGAGGAGTTCCACAGGCCGACGGCACGCTGGGTGGCCGTTTGAAACCCACTGCGTATTCCCAACAGAGCCTCAGAGTTACGGACACCCGAGTTACGGACCAGGCAGCTCCACACCCCTCGGCCGGCACTGGAAGGACGCGATCAGCATTAGAGACCCAAACACTGAACAAACAAAAAAAAATAAAGCACGCACCATACAGTACCGTGTTAAACATAAACTACTGTACTAACAAAACACAGGGCAAGGGGACAAAAAAATGGTGTCAAGGGCAGGAAACGGCTTCTGGGCTGGTTTCATTTGAATGCTGAGGGTTCAAAGCAGTGTTTTGCTCCTGCTGCTGCGCGTGGGCCGTGTTCGGCGGTAAACGTCGGCTGCGTTTGGCGGTACGATGGTTTCGGAGCGACCGACGCCCTCCGCTCCCGAGGGGTGCGTGACGCCGAGGTTGTGCTGTCATTTCATGGGGTGAATTCTTGTGTGTGGATCAACAGTGACTTTCACGTGCCGTTGTGTTGCCCAGTTTTGTGAGATCCCTTCGCTGTCGGCCTGGGCCTTAACGATCTTGAGTCATTTTGTGTCGTCTGCAAATGTTGCCGCCTCACTGGTTACCCCTTTTTCCAGATCGTTTATGAATCTGTTGAATAGGAGCGGGCCCAGTACAGACACCACTAGTTACCTCTCTCCGCTCTGAAACCCGACCCTTTGTTTCCTGTCTTTTAACCAGTTACCGAGCCATGAGAAAACCTTCCCTCTTATCCCATGACAGCTGACTTTGCTTAATAGCCTTTGGCGAGGGACCTTATCAAAGGCTTTCTGAAAATCTAAGTACACTAGATCCACTGGATCCCCTTGGCCCACGTGCTTGTCGACCCCCTCAAAGAATTCTAGTAGATTGGCGAGGCGTGATTTTCCCTTACAAAACCCAGGTTGACGCTGCCCCGACGAATCGTCTTCGTCTCTGCGTCTGATCATTTGGTTCTTGACTAGAGTTTCAACCCATGTGCCTGGCACTGACGTTAGACTCGCTGGCTTGGAATTGCCTCTGGAGCCTTTTTAAAAAAAAAAAAAAATCAGCGGCACATTGGCTCTTCGCCGGTCATCTGGTCCGGAGGCGGCGTTAAGCGCTGGGTTACATACAGACCGACGACGCCTACCGTGCCTCTAGAGTCAAGGGCATGGTTATTAGGTGTCCTCTGTGTGTGGCATGTACGGGGTGCCCATCATTGTGGTCTCTAGGCCCCTTGCCCTCTTTCCTGCATGTCTTCTCACAGCCTCCACTCCCAGGAGGTAGGGCAAGGTGGGGAAACTGAGGCACAGGGCGACTTATCCAAGGGCCCACGGTTTGTGGCAGAGCCGGGAGTCGAGCCCACAACCCGGCGCTCTGATCACCGGGCAAACCTTCCTCTCCAACCCATCCCAGACCTACAGGGGCTCTGGGGTGGTTATAGCCGACAGCTCGTCCCCCTTGCCAGTGAGTTGGTATGCTGGTGGAGGCATGCTGTCGCACGGGGTGTGCGGGCTGCCCGGCTGTCCCAGCTGTGAGCGGGTTGACAGGGAGCTGCGGTGGGGGACGGGTAGCTGGGGGGGCTGCGAGTCTGGGAAACAACCTACTACAGAGGCAGTGGTAGGAAGGAGCAAAGAATCGTGAGGAAAAGTGGGTGCGGCGGCTTCCCGCAGGGTCCCTGGGCTGGGTCCCGGACGAGGGGTGGCTTGCACCATGGTGATCATCCGGCCTGACCCCCGATTTTCCACTGATATGGGTCAGCCTGAGCTGGTCCTTGTCCGTGACCCGTTCAATCTCAGACCACTCAGCAACACGCCCCAAGCGCAGACTTCATCCTTTCCCCCCCCGCCCCACGGAGCAGCCCTGGAGAGCCTAAGGGGGAAACCGAGGCAGGGCGAGGCCTCGTCAAAAAAATATCGCAAAAGCTGCCCGCTCCGTGGCGCCCGGGCCGGAGACCTGACCGAAATAATTCCCAGAGCAACACCCAGGATTGGCAATGGAGAATCCTGGTGAGCCCCCCGCCCCAAAGTAAACTCCCCGTAATTCATCCCTTGTGAACAAAGAGTTGTAGCTTTCCCGCAACTGTTGCTAAGAACATCTGGGGCAGTGAGCCAATCCCGGAAACGTCTTTCACGGGGTCCGCAGTTCGTCACGGCTGAATACTTGAATACGGCCGGCAGATCTGGTCGCCCCGTCTCAAAAAGGATTGATTGGAATCGGAAAAGATTCAGAAACGGGCAACAAAAATGATTCGGGGTCTGGAACGGCTTCCGTGTGAGGAGAGATTAATAAGATGGGAACTTTTCAGCTTGGAAAAGAGACAGCGAAGGGGGGATATGAGAGAGGTCTATAAAATCATGATGGGTGTGGAGAAAGTCAATAAGGAAGTGTTATTTATTCCTTCTCACAACACAAGAACTAAGGGTCACCCGATGAAATGAATAGGCAGCCGGTTGAAAACAAACACAAGGAAGTATTTCTTCACACAACGCACAGTCAACCTGTGGAACTCCTCGCCACTGGATGTTGTGAAGGCCAAGACAAGAATAGGATTCAAAAAAGAACTAGAGAAGTTCATGGAGGATGAGTCCATCAGTGGCTATTAGCCAGGCTGGGCAGGGATGATGCCCCTAGCCTCTGTTTGCCAGACGCTGGGAATGGGTGACAGGGGATGGGTCACTGGATGATTCCCTGTTCTGTTCATTCCCTCTCGGGCACCTGGCATTGGCCGCTGTCAGAAGACAGGACATTGGACTAGATGGACCAGTGGCCTGACCCAGTATGGCCAATAACACCCAAGAATCCATAAAACAGGGAGAGACAAAACAGGCTGCTCCGAAGGGAGACAGGCACAGCACCCCCTGCCTGGCTCTAGGCTGGTTCTCTGCAGACCGCCTGTGATCTTGCACTTCACAACACACCCCACTACGAAAGCCTGCCAAACAAAGGACCCCCAAAAGGCCCTTCCTTCCTAACCCACTAGCTTCGTTATCGCCCTGAGTGGGGACGGATGATTAAAGAGCCGGCTGGAGGCATAGCGAGGGACATCCAGCCACGGGGCTAAATGGTGATTGGCTCAAAGGGGAAACTGAGGCAGGGTTGCTCCACTGTAGGAGGAGCCAGGGGGTGAAAGCAGCCCTATACATGCTTTTTGTGATGGGTCAGCTGCCCCAGTACCCCAGCTGACAACAGGGGTGGCTGGACACTGCGAGCGAACTCCCCCCTTCTCACCCTACAATCCGAGGCCAGCGCTGAGAGGCAGGAGCCAGTGAAAAAGGAGAGACCCCACTTCTTTCCTGGAGCTGGACAGAGAACCCAGGAGTCCTGGCTCCTAGCCTGCCCTGTTCTAACCCACCAGTCCCCACGCCCCTCCCAGAGCCGGGGAGAGAACCCAGGAGTCCCGGCTCCCAGCCCCCACTGCTCTAACCCACCGGCCCCCACTCTCCTTCCAGAGCCGGGGAGAGAACCCAGCCGTTCTGGCTCCCAGCCCGCCCCCGCTTTAACCCCCCAGCCCCCACTCCCCACAGTGTGTCTTTCCTATCCATGGAGCAGCGGTGACGCCTGGTGGCCAGCAGGGGTAACAGACGGCGATTTAAAGGCCTACAACTGGGAGCTGATTCTCACCCCCGGTAACCTGCGGAACTCCTGGCAACCAGACTCCGCGAGACCTCACGGGCAGGCAGGGTAACGCCCAGCGAGGGGGATGCATAGGGCCCTATGAGTAACCCACTGCTTGTCTGCCACCCCCCCCCCCAACAGGACGGTCACTGCTTCCTGGTCCTCCCAGGTGAGGAGGGGGCCCTGAATATCGGCCGACACTGGGGGGACGCCACCCCGGCAGCCACCATCTTCATCGACCTGCGCAAGGTGACCAGGTACAAACCCGGGGGAGGTGGGGGGGCTTTCCTGCAGGGGGTTAGATGGCGGGTGGGGGGTGGAAGTCAGGACGCCTGGGTTCTCTCCCCGGCTCTGGGAGGGGAGTGGGGGCTGGTGGTTAAAGCAAGGGGGGCTGGGAGCCAGGACTCCTGGGTTCTCTCCCCAGCTCTGAGAGGGGAGTGGGGGCTGGTGGGTTAGAGCAGGGGGGGCTGGGAGCCAGGACTCCTGGGTTCCCTTTGTACGGTGTGGGCCCCCCTCTCCCCAGCGCCGCCTCGTCCTTCGAGTTCCGCACGCTGGACCCCGAGGGGGTGATCTTTTTCGGGGACATGGGGGACCACAGCGACTGGTTCGTCCTGGGGCTGCGGCGAGGGAAGGCCGAGATGCAGATCAGCAGTGTCATGACCAACATCAGCGTGCGGGGCGGGCAGCGGCTGGACGACGGACAGTGGCACCGAGTATGGGGGAGTCGGGGGGCTCCCATGAGGGGTGGGGGTGCTGGGAAGAGGGACGGGGGACTGGGTGCATTTGGGGGGGGGCAATTGGGGTGGGGATAGCCAGGAGGAGG